TGAAGTAATGAGAGTGGCGAATTACTTGTTCACTGGGCAAACATGACAGGAATGTCATAGAGGGAATTTATATATATGCAAACACAAGGAGGTCACATCGGTGTTACTTTTACAAAGTGACCTTATCCACTAAAGGGTCATTTAAAAATCTGCATTAGTTTACAGAGGAAAGGCTAAATAAAATGGCAAATACCTGCTTTGTGTGGATTGTAGTAACTAACACAACTAATAAATAATGTAAGATGCAACACAGTACAGAACATAATGTAAATGGCTGCATTATTTCTGTACAAAAGACCTGGGGCCAGAAGTGATTTCTACTACTCAGTTAGGGTTTCTCTGAAGTAGCAAACGAAATATTTGTCATAAAAAGAAAAGTAAGATAATATGGGACTAATTCTCTAACAGGTTTTTGTCCCTTAAACATTTCATCAGAATTCAGTAGAGAAATTGGCTTACACTTTATGAACACTTGCATTCACAAGGTCTATGTGTTTGCAGAAGACAAATCTTACTGACACTGAAAGTTTCTACATATGTAAAGCAGGAACAAATGAATTTTCAACAGCTTCACAGAAGCTGATGTTTGTAAAGAAAAGAAGGAAAAGGAGCAACTGAGAAAAATGCTGTTACTCCTAGGAAACAGATGAGAATTTATTTGTGTAAGAGCTCTTAAGGGAAGAATGTAAGCTATTATTTCCTTATGTTTTTTTTTCTCCTCAACAATAAAGATTACATGAGGTTGCACTCCACTTAAAATAGGAAGGGAAGGCAATTTATCACTGGCCATACAGTGTAGGGTAATTCTCATGTGATTCTCCTCTATTTCTGAACTGTTGGAAAGGTGGATGATCTCAAGGCCAGAAGCTAAGATGGAAGAAAGTAGAAACTCAAAAGGTTATGAATGCTGCATTGCTGATGTGAAATTGAAGATACACGTCTGCGCCTGGCAGTTTCAGTGCAGTCAAATAGTTGGGCCACATCTGCTGCTGGGAGGGGGCTCACGGTGAGGTGAAGCAGCTATGAGGAGAGACTGTGCAACCTATGAGTGTATTCGCAGTTTGCTTCTGATTAGCCACAGGGGCCAGGGGGGAAGGATTTCTGCTGACACAGCAGTTTGTGAAGCTTCTCTGCAGCATCAGATGTGGCTTCACCCTGAGAAAAAAATCCTGCAATTATTAACCAATTTTTGTCACTAATCACCAAAACAGTCTAGTCTTGAGTCCATGATACCAGACTGGCGATGGTCTTAAGGAGTGTGCTTCAGGGAAAAGGATGAGCAAATGTAACAAATCCCATGAATTTATTCATTGTGTTACAGTGTTAGTGAAGAGCTGGTCATGGCAGAGTCATCTCATACTCAGTCACTGCCTGTTAGAATTATGTGGGTGACTTATTTTTGTTTTATTTTTGTAGTGTCCTTGGAACCACAAAAGGAGCTATCTTTCTTTTTCCTTGCCTCTAAGCACATTGAAAAATGAACTCCAACATGGCTTTTCATGTCCTCTTTTGCATGAAAGTGCTGAGAATTCCTTGGGTTTATTTTCAATATGTTGGGCTAGAAAGTTTGTATTTTTGTGTAAAATTGATTTTCAAAAGTAGGCATCTCCTACAGCATGGCTATTCTCAGTTTTGATCACCTTTGGCTTATGTAGCATAAGGCTGTAAGGATCACAGTGAGGGAGAGTTTTGCAGGCAGGAAGGTAAACAGAAGAGGAAAATATCTCACAGAGAAAACCATTCACGTTAATAGCTATAGTTTGTCTGTGGAGCTCTGCATCACCTCTAGTAAGAGTAGACCTCATTTCAGAGCTCATTTGTTCTATTTAACACAGCCTGTTATGTTAGTATAATAACAGTATGATAATGGACTGCATTTTATTTCCTGGATGCACTTACTTGACATGGATCAGGGTTGCAAGAGGCTAATAGTTATGTTTCAGAGCTGAGGTCAAATGCTATCTAGTTCCAGTGTCTTCTCAGTGCTGTATCACGGGTTATTTTGGAAATCCACAAAAAATAACCAGCATCACAGTTTCTGAGCCTAGGTGATAATGCAAGCACTCAGATACTCAGTATGTGTCATGGCCTCTTGTTATCTAGCTGTTTTCCCACTTTGCTGACGAGATGTATCTATCTCAACTCACTGAGTTTCTTGGACTACAAACCCTACATTTTTTATTTCTAGGGCTGCATTGCTACAGTGTGACTTCTGTGTATGTAGCAGGGAGCAGAGTGCCTCATACCTTGTTTGTGCTTATGCAGCCACTTGTCTGTCCTTGGACTGACTGTTTTAAGTGGCCAACACACACGATGCAAGGTCTAGTGTTATACTGCATAATCAGCTTGAAACTTAACATCATCTTCCAACTTTTTCTTATTTGAGCTGCTGTATGTTATGAATGCTTTAACTGTTGAGACATTATTTTTTGTACTTCTGCTTATGGCCTCTGAACTATTAGTCCCACACTAGAACTGCTACTTGCACTGACTTTTCTGTCAATTGTGCCTATTATGGGAGTGCTGTAAGACAAAGTTCTGATTTTTGTCCTTCTAAAGGTGAATACCACAAATAAATAATGCAGAATAGTGTAATAGACTTGTGGTACAGAAATGGTGTATTGTTTTTCTCATGGTTGGAAAACCTGGCAATGGCATTGAGCCCAGATTTTCTGCATCAAAGCTCAACCCCTTCCTTTACTTTGCAGAACAGTCTCTCCTATATTCAGTATTGGCTTACTCCTCTTTGGTATGCTGGACTGTGAGCAGAGGTTTGGATCTTCACTCTGCCACCTACCCTGAGGGGCTGCTGTTCACAGGCAGATATGTTGATTTACTCTCTTTCCTCGGTTCCTACTGTTTTTCCATATGTATTTGCATTTTCTGCTGTGAGTTTGCTGCCAGCCTTGCAGAACAGTGAGTGAACCTGGCATCAGCAGAGTACAGGAAGGAACTGTATTAGATTCAACTTTGCTTAATGGTGCAAGTCCCACTGTGTTTTGAGCACTGTTGGGTAAGTGAGGAAGAAAGATTTGATTTTAATGAGAGATGACTTTGCACCAGCATCGTAACAGGTGCAGTATGAGAATCCAGGAGTGAAAGAGTTAATTCATATTCTGTTCACAGAGATAGCTGTGACAGAGCATATGCTGAATGTGCATTCCAGTTTCATTTTTTTGTTCTTATTTATAGTGACAAATAATATATTTTCCTTTAGCTTCATAAACCTGGATCTGCTGATGAACGTGCAGTTTACACTCCAAAGGCTGGAATTAGTGCAAGAAGGCAGGGCTTGGTGTGCTTGGTGTGACCTCCACTGTGATTATTAATCAGTCAGGCTTTCAGGGGTACAACCACCATCCTTGATAGAGCATTTTCTTACTCCTCTCTCTTTATCCCTGATAAATGTGGTATCTGAACTCTGGGAAACACACTGTAGATATGTGACTTCTGTCAAGGAATGCTGAGTTCTGTTTGCTTTGAATTCAGGTTTAGAAGGGCTTGGGTCTTGGAGCATTCCTCAGTGGGTTCTTAATTTGAGTTGTAGTGTTTTGTTACACACAGCCTGGTGTGGAAACTCACTGGTGCTTAACAAGATCTCATCAATCTCCTGGAAGGCAAGATTGGCACTTTTGGATGAAGTGGTCTGGTTACAACTCTGGAAATCATGAGTGGAGTTGTGGGGTGGGGGCTTGCCTTATCAGCGTGTGGTGTTCTGTTCAAAAGCAATTTGCTCAGAGGAAAGGAATTGCTTTGAAGCAATGGAAAGAGATTTGGGACTTTGTACAGGCTAGTGGTTAATTCTGTATTAGAGTAGTATGCCTTTCACAACTCTGTAGTTTTGGTTGCCCACAATTGTGTTGTACACGACCAAACCAAGAGAGTGGCTTTTAAATTCCTTTGGACTTCTTATGAACGTAATAGGAGATAAATATGCAACTATACTGAAGCAATGCATTTTTTTCTGGTCAGAAAGGCACCCTAGTTCTCCACATTATGAAACAGCAATATTTTTGTTCAAGTGATCAAATTTACAGCTTTTCTAGTGTAAGTGGTTTGAAATAGACATCACCATCCTATTGACAGTGCAGAAGCATGAGCATCATGCAGAGTTGTTTCTTAGCCAGCTCCATAGGGTTCTTCTACATAGAATGAAAGGTGAGAGGCTTCATTATTATACCTCTTGCCACTGTCTGCACAATTGTAATCCTTAAGCACGGGAGCCTATGTTCCTGAACTTGTCTTTTTGGCAGATGGAGGGGTATTTTGTCTTTGGAGGAAGTTGCTGAGAAATAACTCAAGTGTTACTTTGTGCTTGAGTCACCATGGTGGCTTGCTGTCACAGTGAAAACATTACTGAGCAAGATGAGGGCAACTGTGTGCAGTTTCCCTTGGTGCAGTAAATCAAATCTTTTCATTACCCTAAGGTAGACAAGAGACTAGTGAATCTGCCCTGCTTGAGTCCATGTCCCAAATCACTCTTGTCTTCCTAACAGGATTTCTATATGGAAGTGTAGGTACATGTGCTGGAGGTCTGATCAAATCTGTTATTGCCTTATGGCTTGTAGACACAACCCAGAAAGAGTTGCAATCCCAAAAGCTAAAAACACTGCGCCATCAGAAAGAACAACATTGACCATAGCTGGCCCCAGACACGCTAGTGGCACTTCTCTGTTCATCAAAACCTGCTGCACAGCTGCATGGATTCATCCTTCTTGCTAGCACTGGAGTCTACTGTGGTTATGAACACTGTTTGTGCCTTGAGAGAAACATGATGACTGGAGGTGCTGAATTCTCCTGGTACTGACCAGGGTGGACGAATGCTGGTGGACCAGGGAGAGATCTGATACTGATGCTCTATGTGATGTACCTCACATAGAGCCAGGCAGAATTTAAGACTAAAGGGTTGTCAGCCAGACAAAAACCTCTTAAATTAAAAAAAAAAATGTTTTTGAAAGAAGCCTTAAGAGAAATACTTATTCTTGTGTATTTTTGTTTTCAGGATGAATAAGAGATACTTACAGAAAGCAACAAAAGGAAAACTGCTAATAATAATATTTGTTGTAACGCTGTGGGGAAAATTAGCATCCGGGGCAAATCATCATAAAGGTAAGAATTTCTGTTCTGTTCTGTTCTGTTCTACTGTTGCATCTGTGGCCTCTGTCAACAAATTCAGAAGTGTCCAGTGTTTGTGACCTTTTTTCCTTATGCATATTTGTGTCTTCTGATGTTGGTCCACTAATCAGTATCAAAGGAGAGTTTTCAATGGATAGGCTTTTATTAATTTATTAAGAATTTAAGTATTTTAGTCCCATTTTCAGCATTCTTTGATTTTAGGTCATTTTGTAATGATGGTACAGTTGAAAAAGTGGTAAAAAAAGATGGACATGTTGAAACATCAAATAATGAACACTGCTTGTCTCCTAATAATAGATATATCAGATAGCACATATGTGTGCTACAAATGAATTAATGGAATGAACCTTAGAAAGAAAAGATTTTTAGTAACATGTATGTTGCTTCTGTGTGCAGTTATCCGTCAAGGCTAACTTAATGGATAATGTGTGCTGAATATGATTGTTTCATCACCAAAAAAGACCACTGCTTTGTAGTGCATGCTTCATTCCTAACACCAGACCAAGAACTTTAGTATGCGTTTCTGTAAACCCCTAATGCAAGGAACAAGCTCTCCAAATTCATGTACTAATATCTTCTTATAGGCTAATATAACTTGAAATGTGATCTGCGGTATAACACAATTTTGAAGTCCACTTCTCATCTTCATGCAGTGTCTGTTGGCTGTTTATCTGCTTATTCAAGATCAGAATAAACTCTTAACAACTTGGATAAGGGTGGGACATGAACATTACTGAGAGCAAAGGAGTTAAATACTAGGGAAGGATTCCAATAACACCAGTCAGTTCATCTCTCTGTGGTCGTATACATTTTATTATGTACCCTCTGATGATAGGATTTAATGAGCAGGTATTTTATATATCTAGCTGCTAGATATTTTTCTGCTGTGTGAAGATATCTTTCTTCAAAATACCTCACTGATTAAGGACTTCAGGATGCAGAGGCACTTTCTGCATAGTCTTTTGTGAGCTGCAGTTTGGCTGCAGACAAAATAGATTCTGATGTGGTCCTGCAGGCCACCAAAGACAGGAACCATGCTGACTCTTAGCTCAGCCTTTGTTCCCTCTTGGAACCAGAATATGGATTGCGCCATGGCTTGCCAGTTTACTGGAAAAGAGCCAAGATATCCTAGCCTGGATTCAAAATACTTTTGTCTTTGATTATCTTTCTTTAAAAATCAAAAAGCCCATCTCCAGATCATTTTGATTCCATCAACAAAAGCTCGACAAGCTGTGTTTGCTTCAGTCCAATTCAAATGTTCCCAAAGTATGCTTGCTACTGTTTTTGAAAAAATTATGAGTAAAATCTGTCACCAAATATTTCATGGAAACAAATTATAATCCTAAGGATTATTTGGGAAATAGGGCTTCACAACTGAGAATCAAATGATTCCCCACCAGTTTTAGCTCTCCAGATATATTCATGAAGTAAAACCCCAGCAGAGCTATACTATTAATTATCTGGAGAGTACTTGGCATTTGAGGTCTGGCATTTGAGGTCCAGCCTTAGAGCAGAAATAACTTGAGAAGTATTGAATTTGATGTTTTTAGATAAAAAGAATATTCACATGAGCCCCTTGCAAAACCAGGTTATTAGCTGTAGGGATTTCTTTACATTCCTGCAAGTTAAAAAAAAAGCTTTGATTCTTCTTTAAGTTGTAAATTTTCACCCCTTTAGCAAAATATATGAAGTTTTGCAGGGAACAATAATAAGAAGCATGACTTGAGTGTTTAATTTAGAAAAGCAACTATTGTACATGTTCAGATTTTGGCTTGTGGATTTACTAGATCTCCAAATCAGGTGCACTCACTGTATATGGGGGATTATTTTAAAAAGCACAAATCACAGCTATGCAGCTCAGCTACCACTGATTCCCAAAGAAACTGGGACTTCACATTTTATCAAAGAAAATTTTCCCCCTACTCTAATAGCAGAAATGGAGCTAAGGTGCAGCCAAGGAAAACCTGACACAGTTCACCTTTGCATAGAATTTTCAAATATTGAGGAATATGTGAGTTACTTCAGCTCTAATTATCCCTAGCATCATTAATCTTCATTTATTGAAGTCCTTACTAACATATTGGCATGACAAACCCTAATGACTTTGAAGGAGACCTTACAATTTCAAAGATCAATAAACCAAATTTTTAAAAATCTTTCCTATTGATTTAAGCATATTATGCATCATTTGCATCAACTCAAAGCCATCTTTTTCTGAAGGCTATTGGAAAATAAAAGGAAAGAAAAAAAGAAAAGAAAAGAAAAGAAAAGAAAAGAAAAGAAAAGAAAAGAAAAGAAAGAAAAGAAAAGAAAAGAAAAGAAAAGAAAAGAAAAGAAAAGAAAAGAAAAGAAAAGAAAAGAAAAGAAAAGAAAAGAAAAGAAAAGAAAAGAGAAAAGTTCATCAATCTGTGAAAAATTGTTTAATGAGCATGTTGCTCTCCAGACAGACTTCAGCAGGGATATAAACAGCTGATTCTGACAGGCAGTCTCAAGGCTTGTTGCGCTTATTCCAGGGATATGGCACAAATGAGAAATCCCAAATCAGCAGCAAGAGGCTGAGGCAGGGCATGGGGAGCCAGGATCTGAGGTCCGGTGAGCAACCAGCAGGGTTACCAACTGCGGTTTCAGATTACAGCTTTTCAGTGTCAGGTGTGTGGGTGCCACGTCCACCCTTTCTATCTAGTGAGAAGACTGGTTTGAAGACAGTTCTGCACCTTTCATCTTGTCTGATTGTTAAAGTTCCATCAGTCTGAATAGAAAGTCCAAGAGCTAAAAGAGATGAGCACTCACAGTGTTTAAAACAAAACCTAAATCTCACTTTTTTTGTTGCACACAGGATTATGAGTTCTCCTGTCTAGTTCCTGGGTGTGCACATATTCCATTATTCTGTCTTCTGGAAAGAAACAGGAACTCTGCTTTTTCTTTTTCATTTTGCTGTGGACCATGATAATCTGGTGATCTGTGCCTTACCCGAGCACATGCACCTGTGAATGACCCTACAGTACCACGTATGAGAAGACAAGTAAAGAGTGGCATATCAGTCTCCAAAAGGACATTGTCAAGGTTATGAATCTAAAAAACTGATCTACCTTGAGGGTGGCTGAAAGAAATCCATAAGGCTATTTTATAATAAAATTGATCCTGATCCTCTTACTCATTGCTAGCCCTTGGAAAACAAATAAACCTGCACAAACATACAGTGTTCATTGGCAGATATGGCAGGCAGGCATCAGTTCCACATCACTGCCTGTTTGCTGTTTCTGTCACAGGGAACATGAACTGGTTTGGTGACCAGTGTACCACAGCCCGTGTTTAAGATTTCAAGTGTTGGACTAGTTCTTCTGGGAAAGAAATATACTGGTAGTACCTTACAAGTGCTCCTTTGTAGACAAGAGGCTACCATGAGACACAGTTTCTATCCTAAAACTAAAAATTTTCAAAATTTGAATTTCTTTGAGCTTTTTGTGATTCCTAAATTTTTTTTTTTTACTTTGATAACACAATAAGGTAATTAAATAAATTAAGGGTGCTTTGAAATCTGAACATAGTTTAATATTCCTCAAAATACAAACCAATAAACCTTATATTAAAATTGAAATCCCTGAACAGAATAGACAGCTACTTAAAAATATGGCTAATGATGAATGCTTGCTTGCCAGAAGGAATTTTTTATGGAACCAGAAAATACTCCAGGTAGATTGATTAAATAAATAAATGTAATAATTGTGTATCTTTGGACTTACTAGATGAAACGGCATGATAATTTATTTTCATTTAAAAAATGTCACTCAGAAGCTGAACTTACCTGATGCCTATCATATAGTTAAAACAAACTGAACTTTATCATTTGTGATGGTAGAATTGCTGCTCCTACTTGTCTGTGAATTTGGAATAAATTAGAAGTCTGAAGGAATGTCTCACTATTCACAAGGAGAAGATGAATCTTGGTTTCTCCTTCCAGAGGAGTAGCTATTCTGCAGTCCAGCTGAATGAAGCAGTCATTGAGCCACTAAAGCTGTTAGTTAGATTACCATTCCTGGATGAGTCTGCCTTTCTCAGCTGCCTTGATGGGGCAGAAACACTGCTGGTACTTGTGTTGTGATACAGGATGGAGCTGGAGTTTGGGAATGGGTATGACTATGAGAAGCAAGAAATCCAGTGTTAGCAGTGGCATTCTTTCAGGTGGTACTGATGTGTTCATGTCCATTGCTGGACTTTTATTAGCAGTCATCCTCTTCCCTGTTCGCCAGGTTGCTTTTGCTGTGTGAAAAGAGTACAAATAAAATGTGCAGGACAGTCATGGAAAACCTAAGGAACTGTGCGGATTTTTTTTTGTGAAACTGAGTTAGAAATGCAGCTTAATTGTAATTACTGTATCTGAGTATCTTATTTTCTTTGGATAACGCATCATTTCTGTTTGCTCTGAAAGATCTTTTAAGTCTTGTGTCTAGATTTGTCAAGTTTTCTATCGAGAAAATGAACCAAAAGGTGGCAAGCCCTGAACATGGCTCCAGTGTAGTCTAACACATGTCCCACATGTGTGCATCTTTGAGAATATAACCTTCTTTTAGGGGAAGAAATCTCATAGTAATGAACAAATTTAATCAAAAGTGATAGTGCAGTCCAGTATGGGCAGTAGTATGCCTGGTTCTGGAGAGTGAGTGGAAAGTCTGGTAGCCCTTGCAGACAGATGGGGAGGTGCATGTTTGTTCTTTTGGCTTCTATCAATCAAAAGGGCTCTCTTAGCAAGTGCAGTGATGCTAACGCTGCACTTAATCAGCATATGACAGGCTCCTGGCTCTGCCTGACCCCCTGGGCTGTGGTATTGATTTGTTCTGAGGAGAGATAATATAGCACTTTGTTAAAAGCTAGGGTAATGGCCTCTGTGCATTGCCTCAATGCTCTTATGCCTGTTCCATGCACAAGGAGTGAAAGTCACTGGTGAGTTAGGACAGCTGCTTTTGTATCAGTAA